CCGTAAATAATCAATAATACAAATATTGAAGTATATGTAGTGAATCGAAGTGGTATATGTATGTAATTATGTACTCATGCACACCCATTCAACAAATTCAGACAATACGTAGTTGTGTCTTTGTCTTTGTTTTTGTGGTTGGCCTTGTGTCACTGACTGTGACATTAGGATACATACTAAATCTGTTTATTTATGTTTTTAAATATATATATACTCGAGAATTAATCATTCGAGGCACCGTTAATTCTTACTGCTCTGACGGCATGGTACGCATTACACCGAAGAGCCAGGCACCGTTTCCCTTACTCTTAGATGGCACAGTAGCATTACACCATAAGTACTGACTAGGAGCTCCACAACGTTTGGGATACTTATGTGGAAAAAATCCCCAAGGTACCCGCGAAAAAGTGATGGAGCGGAATCTGGAACTCAAGCGCTCTACCACTGTGAGATCAGACGTGGCGTTGCTAAGGTAGGATACTTATTCAGCGGCAAATTCAAAATCTGCATGAAAATTTAAATATCTTGAATACATCAATATCCTATTATTCAATCCTAAATTTTGAACGCCTTAATCGTAAACACATTAATTTCAGTATCTGAATAAGGGTTTGTACTAAATTAATTAATTATTAGCAATAAATAGTATAATTTTTCAGTAACAGTGGTAAGTTATTGCTCATACTGTACTAATGGTCTTTGTAGATAAACTATGTAAAGAGTTTGATTTTTATGATATTTTGGTTGGTACTTCATGCAAACCTCACCAGATAACTATGATGGTTGAGTCAAGCTTCGAAAAAAAGGAAAGTACCCCCAAAAAAGAGTTTTATAACTATCCTATATGCAAAGCTTATAATACATTTATAGTTTACCTTCATATTCTTGCTAACACAACTATTATTAATTATTTATTATGCAAAATATATATAAAAATGTAACTATTTCTGTTAAATTTTACTATCAGGAAAAATAGTATTCAGGGAATAGGATCCAGGAGATGGTTTTTAGGTAAAAAGGTGTTTGATAAAACGACATTCAGATGGATGTTAAAGCTCACAAATAAGAAAATATCAATGAAGAAAAATTATTGTCATAATACACATTTTCAACCTAAATAGTTTGGGTTTAATTTCTGACTTGTTGCTTTACAGCTGAAAAGATCAATGGATAAAAATCGTAGAAAAAATTTAAAATGATTCTTAACAGTTTAAGTAACGTAAGTACCTTTGGATTTTACTTTATTAGTACTCAATATGTCATGATAATAAGCTTTCTAAGCAAACTTTTTATTTGTAATTAATGAAAGAAAATAATAATCTAATGCTTCCTTTGTCTTTTTTTTATTAATTGAAAAGTGCACTGAATAATCAAAATAATCATCTAGATGCCATAAATCATAAAAGTGTTATCTATCATCTCGTGTAAGGGTTTGATTTTGTCA